CTTGGTTGCAAATCCATTGCAGTCAATCACAGCCTGAACCCTGGAACGCATAGACATCACCAGACGCTGGGTTTCATCCCTGATGATGCTCTGCCAGACCTCTACTCCAACTGTCTTCTGCCCTTTGTTTCATTCCAAATCCATTGTGGTGTGTATAGAGCCAAAGATGTTAGAATTGTGTCGATGTCCCAATATTTCTGGACCTGACTGTATATTTCCTGTCAATGATCTGAATTGATCTAATGCAGGGGAGGTTATTATTCCTGTCTGTCTGTCTGTCTGTCTGTCTGCCTGCCTGCCTGCCTGCCTGCCACACCCACCCACCCAATCAAATAGGACTCAGGGCAGCATACAGATAAAAACCAAAACATAATAATATTAAAATTAAAGCTACTGAAAACATCAGTGACACATACTGCACGCAAGGCAGCTACATGCAGTCTAAACCAACCCAAAAAGTTCAAGATGGATGTAACAACCTGGGGGAAAAGTCAGGTCTTAAGAGCTTTCTGAAAGGCAGGCAGGGGGATCATCAACATTGGGGGGAATGGGGGGCTGTTCCATAGGGCAGGCACAGTGTCAGAGAAGGCATGTCTCCTTGGTTCTGTCAGATGACATTGTTTAAATGACGGGACCTGGAGCATGCCCACTTGTCAGATCTTACTGGATGGGCAGAATTTTTAAATTAAGCTAAGGGCTATCTGAAATTTATGACACTAATGGATTAGGTTCCTGGCCTGCCTTTGCAAACTGGTATTATCACTAATTATGAAAAAAATAATGCTATCATTTAACAGCCAGTTGCCAGAATAACCCCCCCAATGACCTATGCATGATCACGTCCAAAGGTCTATGTGGTATAACCTCCAAATTCCACACAATATAAATCCCAACAACCATCAGTGAAGCATGAAAGGACCTGCATGCCTCCCTCCTTGACCCAAGCAAATTGGTACTTCGGATAGTTCTGGTGCACCCTAAATATGGACGTTTCATTCAACTATCACAGTCAATATTTACTGAGGGCTTACCCTGCTATGAGCATATGTCTAACCTTGAAATGGGCAACAGTGTTCCTATTTTGGCTCCTCCTCCCATTATTTAAAATTAGACTGCAGCCATACACAGAGAGTCCTCCTAATGATCCCTCAGTACTATGTTCTGAGTATGTTGTGTTGCTATATCCACAGGAAACTGATGACATCCATATATCCCACATATTGCTGAGCTTGCCCATCTGCTCCTGAATTCTTTGGTGTGTTCCCGGGATACCCACGTACAAAGCAGGAAGCATCTAGCCACCTGCACGGACTGCAACATGTCCTCTCTACGGAACATATCTACTCTAGGTGCATCATTAAGACATTGCAACATTCAAAGCCAACACAAAGTAAGAGATGGACACCAAAAGTGAAAGCCTGTACCTGGATGCTTGCACTGTGGTTGGGCATTCCCGAGGAAAGAGAGATTAACACTGTGAAAGAGTAAGGATGCACATGTTTAATTTGCAGCCTACTTTTCCTAGAAAAAGCTAACTCTCAAACACAGACATCAAAAAATTATCTATTCCTCTTTTCTGCTATTTAGAAAATGTATTATCCCTCAGTGACACTTCCCTTACCTGCTATCACTGTGTTCACACACTCGTAGAGGAGTGACATGGCCGAAGTGCTGAGGAAAAAGACAGCCAGGTTACTGCATTATGAGACACAGCCCCAGAAGAGGTTTCACCAGAAAGGTGCCCATATGGTTTCTAAATTTTAAAGAACTAAGATTTTTCTAAGGTGTGTAAAACTGAAAGAAAAAAAGGCCTTTGATTTTTGCACTTTTTAAGAATAACCTGGTTTCAAATGAAATATGAATTTTTTAAAAAAGAAGCTAGGGTACATTTTTAGTCTGTAATTAGATTCTTGAGATCCAATCAGCCAAATTTGAGCAAATCCACCCTGGGTACCCAAATACACTCATTCCTGCATCAGAGAGCCCTATTCATAGTCACTCATGACTTAGTCACCTCTTGTCTGGATTACTGTCATGTCTATGTGGGCTGTCCTTGAAATCCACTCGGAAGCTTCAGCTGGTTCAGAATGTGGCTCCACTAGCAGTCATGGGCATGCCACGATATACACCTCCATTACACAAGCTGCGCTGGTTACCAATAGTCTTCTGGGGGCAATTCAAGGTGCTAGTTATCACCTATAAAGCTTATTTGAGGGATTGTCCTTCTCCCATGGTGTCTGCCCACCTTGTAAGATCTGACAGAGTCGGCATGCTTTGGGTCACATCTATTAAGCAGTGCCATCTGATGAGACCCAGAAGGCATGCCCTCTTTGTTGTAGCACCTGCTCCTTGGAACAGCATCCCCCAGGGATCCAAACAGCTCCGATCCCGCTTTTTTTTAGATGAGCCTTAGACCTGGCTGTTCCCCCAGGCTAAGGTATGACATGGGTCCACTGTGGGTTGGTTTTGCTATTGTATCTGTTGTCGCTTCATTCTGACATCTTTTCCTTTTTATGGTTTTGATTGCTGTACTGACTTTTTATGTTTTTAATCTGTTATGTCACTCCAAGTCACTCTGAGTGGGCAGCCTACACATGTGATAGAAGAATAGATCAAATAAATCCAATTATGGAAAACCAAAGCAGAAAGGACATTTATTTGGTACTTCATTGTCTGAAAATTCTTCTGCATGTAACTTTCATTTCTTTTGCCAGAATGGAGGATTCAGAATAACTTTCTACTTTGATTTTCTATAAATCAAAGACAGAAAGGGTGGGATAATCAGAGTATACATACTGCCCACTTTGCTTCATTTCTTGGAAGCAGACTGCTTTTTAAAATATTGACAGAGTTGCCATGAATTCTACCCCCTTTAGAAAATTGAAATTGAAGTCATTAACTCTTAGTGAAAGAAAACAGGGTTAAATGGACACTTCTTTCTTCTGTCTAGTCTACTACCTTCAACAGGATAAAAATACATTCTGGAGTTAGTGTTGTCCAGGGAATTATCCTTAAAAATTGCACAATGATGCAAAGGAACTCCTTGGAAAGGTCAATCAGACCAATGTCAAAAAACTCAGGATACCAGTGACTAACCTTACCCAGAGGCACAAATATTTTTATTGAATTATTTACTACTGACATTAAAATATACAGAACTGATTAGCGCTATCTCCCCCAACCTCCAAATAAAAAAATCTACAAGAATTAGCTGACTTACCTATGGATTAGATTGGTCAGGGGTTCTATTAATTTCTTTCCTAGCCTGGGTTCCAAAGGGGTGAGAGCACCAAACTAAAGGAAAAGGAAAGGAAATTAAATTGCTAGCTGCCTCAGCCTATTCTGGTAATTCTGTAAAAGTGGTAAGACATACAGCAATAGTCAAGAACTTTAAAAAAAACTACAGCATCAGGCAAACTCCAGCTGTTAGCAAATGAATTGGCTCAGTGCTAAGCCTAATCTTAGCCATAAAATTATTTGCTTGGTTTTGGTTCAGTGTGATATGCAAACCCAGCTGTGCACTATGAATTTGTTAGCATATTAACATCCCTTCAACTATTATTTTTCTTTCTGTTTTAGTTCTGTTTTTATAGTTTTTAATGTTTTTAATAATTACTATGTAGGTTTTTATGTAATGATGAGAGAGAGAGAGAGAGAGAGAGAGAGAGAGAGAGAGAGAGAGAGAAATAAAGTTTCGCG